CTAAACCCTAAACCCTATTAGTGGGTGGGGGCCCAACCCAACCACCCTAAACCCTAAACCGTATTAGTGGGTGGGGGCCCAACCCAACCACCCTAAACCCTAAACCCTAAACCCTCAATCCTAAACCCTATTAGTGGGTGGGGGCCCAACCCAACCTAAATCTTCCCACATCGATTCGGGGCTGCAGCAGATGCCTTCCTTGCCGTTGAGCTCCGGCCTCGGCTCTCTGCGATGAAGCCGCTGTTTAGGGTTTACTTGGAGGCCCATGGAACTTAGTAACCACTTATAACTGGGCTTATAACCCCTAAATGGACTTATAGGGGTTACCCCAATCATAAGTAGGGTTATCACCCCAGTTATAAGTGGTTACTAAGTCCATAGGCCTCCAGGTAGGGTTGTAATATGTGAGTCCTGGATTAAATTGTAGTATATCCCTTAAGTAGGTCCCCCTATAGCCCCCTATATATCCCCTATAGGTCCCCCAAACCTAAATTTAGTCCGTAGCTCATGTGGGGTCATGGGGTGCAGGGCTTCATAGCGAATTAGAGGGAACATCTGGGCTTATTTAAGGATTACGGGTGAGGGCCGTTGGCTCAAGGTTTAGGGCTATATAGGGAGCATGAAGAGTTTGAGAGGGATATATAAGGAGCATATAGGGATAGTATGGCGTAGTAATCCCAAACAAACGAGAATCAAATGGAAAACCATGTGAAAAATAGAGGTTTATAGAAATCTGCAACTTCATGCACTGGTTTTGTCTGCAGGGAACAAAAGGATGCTGGGAATCCCAAACCCCACAACGAGGACTTTATAAGAGCCTCTAGGGGCTGCATTAGAGTCATAAGGTCTGTATCAACCCTACTCCCAAACCCTAAACCTACACCAAGTCTCAGATGTCATCTAGGAGGCTTACTTTTTATCGATCCTTAAATCCTCAACCCTACAACGCGCGGAATGACTGGCCTTCAAATAACCAGGATCTCACTAGTTCGGCCAGGATTTTGAAAACTTGAGGGTGGATTTACTAGTGCAGGAATTGCGCAAATTGGCCGGGATTCGGACAAATTTGGGCAGGGAACCAAGAAAATCAAAACCAGGATGCGTCAACATAGCATTGGGTACTTGAGAAATAGGAAATGGGAAGTAAGGAACAAGTGCAACGCGGTTTAAGGTTTAGGGCTTTTGGTTGCTCAAGCCCTCGCACACTTCTTTAACGTCGCGACCCAACTTGTCACATCACTGTTTTGAAATTTCTTGACTCCCTGACTTGCTCGAATCCCTGCCTATTTATGCTCAAACCCCTCAACCCAACACTCTGCAATCCATGTTCAACTTTGTCGCATCCTTACCTTGGGTCCTCTCAAAGCATCTGTCCTTATTGGGGTTTCCTTTGCCCTCTTGCCTATTGCGGCAATGGGGACGGTAAGGGGGAATGGCCGAATCTCCACCAGAATTTGCTCAGATCCCTTGCCCTCCCAGGCCTCAGGCACCTTCCCCAAATCCCTCTCAAATCCCTTTCAAACTCCATTGCGTAGAAACGAATCCCAACTTCCGGACGGTTAGGTGTCAGGGTTTGGGGCTCAGGGGGAGGGATTGCTTCACCCTCCAAATCCCCAAGTCAAAGATCTGACGGTCTGTCCAAGTATAGGGGGCTGACGGTATGTCCGAGTATAGGGGGCTCGGTTCTGGGCTCATGGTGAAGCGTTTGGGGGCTCCTTGAGGTTCGGATTCAGGTCGTTGCGAGGGTGCCTAAACTCCATGAATCGCTTGTTTTGCGTGACGATGTGCACAATGTTGCACAAAAATGAACAAGGTGAATTCGCCTAGCGTGCTTCAACACCTACCAAATGTCGTTTCAAGCTCTCAATTGAAAACCCTCCTAGACAACTCCTCCCTGCTGCACCTATACGACGAGATTTTCGCAAAGGTGCTCCTGGAACGTCAATGTTATGTGCCAAACTCAGGGATTCCCCCGGCCCGTATACAAAGAGATCCTTCATCATCTAAAGACCACCGAAACTGTAACCCCACTAGACTCATATGAAACAAATCGTTTTTAATACTTCCCTAGGCCTATACTGTTATACTAAAATCAAATAGTTCCTAAGGAGACTACAGCACATACCCATGTGAGCTGTAGTCTAAACTCCTAGTATCCCCCCAAATATCCTCTAGGGTACTCCCCTATATAACCCCCTATATACCCCCTTCACGGAGTTTAGACCCCAAACCCTAAACCCTAAATCCTAAAGCCTAAACCAAAATCCAAAACCCTAAATCCTAAACCCTATATAATCCCCTTTAAGGAGCTTAGACTATAGTAGATGTGGTTCCCTTGGGCTGCCCGCTTCGCTTGCAGGCCATGTAGACGGACACGCGTGCCCGGACCGAACAGCCTCGTCTCGCTAGCAGGGTTAAGGTTCTAGGGTTTAGGATTTAGGGTTTAGGGTTTAGGGTCCCGCAAGTTTTTTCTAGGTTCCCCAGTAACCCATTAATGATAAGGGTGCCCTTCTTCCTACTGTTCAACTTTAATGAGTAGACCCCAAAATAAAAAGGGCAAAAGGGTACTACTGGGGTATCTAGTTTTTTTAAACTGGAGGACTTTTACGTCTGCCTGGGGCACCAGTTACTGCAGGAAAGCAGACCGCATCCGCAGCCACAAATGAAATGACGATGATCGCCTCGAAGGCCAAAAGGTTCCTGGAAAACAATCCCTTCAGTCAGTTTGCGTTCCGGCATCCTGGACTGAACGGCGATGCATGACAGAAAAGCCAATAGAATCTGGCTGTGGGTGGATGTTAATAAGATCCCCATATACCCCATATTCTCTCCACTTAAAGGGGAAGTAGAAGCCCAAGCACTCAAGTCTTCTGGTACGGGTTCTTCTTGTGAGGAAGTCAGGCCTGGTACTGGACTACACCCCTGTCCCCCTTAATAACCCTCTTACAGTCCCGCATATATATATATATGCTCATAAATATGTAAATATAGCGTTTAGGGTTTAGGTTTGAACTCTTAGTATCCCCCTTCACAACCCCTCTAATCATGGTCCCCTATATATTTCTTTACATACCCCCCATCCGTCCTTTCAGGAGCTTCAGCTAGCTCACGTGAACAACAACTATCCTCATCAGCCATGTGAAGATTTCTCACTTCAATCAATATTGGCAATGGACTTTGGGTTCTAGTGGGGAACATGTCAGGCGAAGCAACTCGGTAGCACCAATCTTGACCGTAGCTCACGGAAAGTACAGTATCGTCCCAAATGAACTCTCCGATGAATTTTCATCGCAAGATCCCTTCTAGAATGTAAACCAAAGTTCATTCCGGGTGGACTTGTGCAAGCTATTTCTGACAACCATAAAACTCTTTAAATAGAAATGCTTCGCTGCCTGGGCGGTGACATGCAAGTGTTTTGCGCGCCGCAGTCTCCCTTTGTAGCCCTTCCCCACCTTTGCACCATCCCAGGCATAGACTTCATCTACCAACGCCTTTGGAGTCATTATCTCACGCATGTGCAGAAGCTTTTCGTAGTCTCGGCTTGCCGACTGTGGGCATGGCCTCACCGGGCCAAAAAAGGTGGCCTCAGGAGTTTGCATAGCTGCCACAAAGCCTCCCTGCCTGCTTTGGACCCCCCGCGGGCGCGGAGCGGCAGGTAAGCCAAAAATGTCCTCGCCTGCTTCGTTCTTGCCGCGCCGCTCGCAGTACCTGATCAAACGCATGTTTGTCAGGATACGCTCCAGATTGGAAGCATTGGCGCCTGCAAGCAAGTCTGGATGGTTGCGGAGATGAACCCGGACCTGTTGTAGGGTGCCAGCGCCGCCCAATGCAGTCAATGCTTGTGCCGTAGCCTCCTTTGTGCTGTAGTACGGCAACAATGGTGTTCGCTTCCGCTTGGACTCTCCAGCCCCTTGATCTGAGGCAGGCTGCAGCAAATCCTCCAGCGTCTGCCGGATTGCCAGCCAGTCAGGAGCTGCTGCGGCAAGCCCGAGGTCTCCTACTTTGCGTTCCTTAGTGGAACCCTGAAAACGAACAAAACCTCATCTTAAGACCGTACCTTTGGCGATCCCTAGTTATCATCCTCCTATTGGCAAGGAAAAGGTGGACCGCAAAACATCTGAGCAGGAGCAGAACCTCTCCAAGGTCAACGGAGCTTCGAACGTGGATAGCTGCCGTTGGACATGCATCAGCGTCATGTGGATCGAACTGCTATCAAAACCATTGGCCTTCCAGTCTCGCAGCAGCTGAAGCCTAGTTGGTGCCAAACCGTTAGGGTCAAAGAAACACATCGCACCACGATGCTTCAACATTGAACGTTTGATGAAGAGCTTGCTAAGTAACAGCAGGGACCTGACCCGATGCTGAAGCTTCGGTGCCGTATCTGATTCTGCTATAGCACTGCTGTCTGCACCATCTGCACATTCCCAAGTTCCATCTGTACATTCCAGAAGTGTTCCTTGGAGATTCCCGGAACCCATGTGGGAAACCATTCTTCCTAACTCCTTCAGACTGCTTGCCAATCATGCCAGGGGCTCCTCAAATACCCTAAGGCATAGGAGTTTTGGGGTCCTTGCTTCAGGACATCCCCATGGCTCAGCGATTCAAAAATTGTAAATCTCTTCTCGTGTGGCCCAGTGGCTGGGGGCCGACAAGGCAGCTGCAACCGCGCAAATGGCATCTGCGAGTACACTCTGGCTGCCTCCTTTCTTGCCTCGGCGGAAGATAAGCAAACTCGAACGCTCAGACAGGCGGGTGACCCTACCTTGTGAATGTTTGATACGGTGGATACTTAAATCCTAGTGGACCGCCGAAGTACCTCATACCTTGGGAGTAATGGTACTATAGTACAGTAAGCTCATGCAGGATTTTTAATATCAACAGTATCATGACAGTCTGGGTTTGGCCTGGAAGGGGTATTGCTAGCTGTTCAGGATTGGCTATCAAGCTTCTGCTTCCGCGCAGATCGCTGAAGGAATTCATTCCCGGCGCTCTTGCGGATGTAGCCCCCAAAATGGCTTGCTTCAAAACATGCCCTAGATGCTTGCAAGCTGGAGCTTTTTGAGGAAGGCTAGCTTTTCGCGGTTCACCATGTTCGACCAGTCATTCATCTTCCTGAAGAGGTGCGGTGGTGCGGAATCCTCTGGCATTGCAGCAAACTCCGAAGCCAGAAAGGTTGTTTGCCTGGCCTGCTCTTTGGAGAACGCACTGTGTAACAACCTGTCACAATCCTCACAGCCATTTGCAAGAACCTCTTCTTCGGTCTCTTCCAGGCGAACAGCCTCAACAGCCCGCACTTCGCAAGATTCGGCAGATGCCTCCCTTCCTGCGTGCTCCTCTTCGTAGCCCTCCTCATCCTCCTCCCGCCGCTCCACCTCAGACTCCTCCTGCGCTTCAGAATCAAGATCCACCTCAGCTCTGCTTCGGCAGCACCGGAATCGGTAAAGCGTCTTTCTCAACCTCTCCCGCATCTCCTCCAGGGCCGAACCAGGAAGCTGCATGCTCTCAAGCGAGGCCAGTGTTTGTGGTAAAACCTTTTGGAGCCGACCTGGCAACTGCCCCCCTCCCAGCTTGAACAGATAATCCAGAAGCAGCTCCATCTCCAGTGGTCCGGGGATGTAATGTGGGGGGGCACAAGCAAACCATGAAGCCACGTGGAAGGCATACCTCCGCAAGCGCCTCTTGCTGCAGCTTCGGGCCTTCTCCGCAAACCTCTGTAACACAATTCTCTTCTGGGACTTGCCATGGAACTTCTTGGCAAGCATTTCTGGGGTGTTGAGGCTACCACTCCTTTTCCTCCGCATAGCTCCGCGATGAAGGGGCAGAGGCCAGTGACTGTAAGGGAGCCCGAGGCTGCAATAAAATGGTGCGTATTCCTCACCATTTTTCGTCCCCCTCATCTGGGTATAATATGGCTTTGGGTATACTTTACTGAGATCCCTATATACCCCATATTCCATCTAGGGGGACTATATGCATGAAGCACCTTAGATCCATCCTGGGTTTAGCTAAGAGCCCGCCAAAGTTGGGATGCCTACAGCGTCCCCAGGTCGTTGTGCAAGCATTCTCCAGTAAAAAAAATGTTTGGGCTCGTATCCCTGAGCCTGAAGGTCTAAACGCTGATGAGAACACCCTAAACCCTAAACCGCGTGGCTACCTAAAACGTATAAAAACATCATGAACACCCCTGCCTCGCTTCCAAACACCGGGTAAGCACAAGCAAACATCACGGAGAATCGGCTTCACGAAGCCTTGCAACAAAAGACCTAGGAGAACATATGGGGGGGTTTAGGGTTTAGGGTTTAGGTTTGGGGTTCCCCGTAATAGGGATTATAGTATTTTGGGTCTATACTGGGGTCCCCTTACTTTGGGAAACTACCATATGTAATAGAGATGGCAGCTCAAAGACAAGTGATGTCGGTAGTCATGGTCAAGGACGACTCAAGTCGAAACCCTTCTACCATCTACGTCTAGTGACTCAAGTCAGAAGTGAAAGGTTGTCGGACCTGGAGAGGAGACCTTTGAGCTATATGCCCAAATAATGAGAGTAGGAGATTGAAAGTATGCTTAAGTTGAGGTCGACAAAATTAGAAAGGGATTTGAGGTCAGGCTCAAATGCAGTTTCACAAGAACTGGAGGCAGCTATTGTTTCTACATTCAGCCTTCTGAATGACCTTATTCAACACACCTAGGAGACCTCCACAGGGGACCCATATCTGGAAACCCCCACATGGCGCCTGTTGGCGATTTCCAAGGCATATGGTTTTGAGAAAACTCCGTGTGATGCATATGTCTCTCATGATAGCGGCCGAAACTTCACCAAGGCACATGATCTGTTTGGGTCCTTTTGAGCGGTTCTTCGGATGAAGACAACGACTCTTTAGGGGGCCCTAGGGACATGCATAATTCAGCGATGTCAACAACTTCTTGGAAGCATGAAATGTACGAGTGTGTGCGTGTTGCATTGCAGTAGCAAGACGCCGAAGTCTTTCAAAAACACTAAGGAATCACATAGGGGAAACATGGGGCTGCGCAGCAGGAGCCTCTAGCCCAAGGGCACTTGTTGGTGCACTTCAAGCCAACCTCAGAGCCTAAAACCCTATCAATGTAGACCCATGATTAATGGGTTATATAGGGATTATTTGGGGGTTGTATGGGGATTGATAGGGGTGATATAGGGGTTATATAGGGATTATATAGGGGTTATATGGGGATTATATACGGGTTAGATGGGGACCCATGTTTAATAAACCCCCTCCTTTAAGCGACCTTAATATTAGGATCCCTATTATAATCCCCATTAAGGGGAGGGGGTTTGTTAATCAGGGGTCTGGGTTAGCCTGAACCTAAAAGCCTGCATGACTCGCGGATACAAGGAGCGTGTTCAAGAGCCTGGTAGAAGTGGCAAAGCAGGCCCTGTCTGTTCTGGTTTAGGGTTTAGGTTGTACGTAATAGGTTTTACGGTTTAGGGCCGGCCTACCCTACCTACAATCCAATCCATGCGGCCCATGCGCGCACCTAGGCCCAAACGTCCAAAAACGCATCTTGCTTCTTGGGACAGATTGCGGATTACAAAGAGATAAGGGGGTCTCCCTGAATCGGGTAAATCATATTAGTTGCAAAGACTTGGGCAAGGCAGGTGAGGTCGATGTAGCTTGCCCAACATTAAAGATCTTATAAAGATTGTTTTGAGAAGCCTGTGATTCATTAATTTTCTGAAACTAGGCTCCATCTGCATGGTATATCACCTGTCGTGAAACACTCAAAACTCGACTACTCGGCGGGCTTTCTCTGGACCAGCGCGGTTGCCAGCTACACGTGCTCTATGCCACCACCCCCCCTTTAAAATCTGAATTTGCAAGGAACTTTCGAAAGCCCGCGTGCTCTTTACTAGTTCACTTCCCGATCTGAAATGTCCCCTCCCAACGGGTAGACACTTGCAGCCCACTACAAACAACATGTATGTTCAGAAAAAAAGGGAAGAGAACCTGCCTTTGTTCAAAGGAAGGTATGAGACGCCAACCGCCTGCAAGGACATACGCTGATAGCTCTTCGAGACAGCAAAGGAAGTACATTTTCATGCATGGCAATCATTGCCCATGCTCCGTCGCAATGTCGCATCATAGGGTCTGCAGGCACTATGATACCATCCTAAACCTTAGACCCTGAAAGCATAGGCATACAGTTTCCCTTCTACACGAGAAAGCGAAAGCTGAAAGGGTTAAGGTGAAAGGTTAGCAACTATCGCAGCTTATGGCCACCTCTCGTACGTGATTTGCAAATGCAAGGAGCTATCAAAATCATGGCCCGACACGGGATTTTTCGTGATGTATGTAGACTAGACATTCTACGGGGTACCCCGTTCTGTTTCGGGAGCATGTTCTGCTGCGTCACTGGTGCCAAAATGGGCCTTGCCACTCCAGCTTACCAAAGTAATCTAGCCGTCATGTCTACTGCTATTCCAGGACGACCTCTGCCTGGATGCTGCCTGGACCGAAAAGTTTGATGACCTGTACTGTGGTCAGAAAAGGGGGTGCATGACATGGACCGGTACGATGATCGCAAAAAGCGCGTAGGCTTAAGCCTCTTCTCACAGCTTTTGCCCAATTAACAAGTACGTCGCGCAAAACCGAAAAGGCGCTGCACAAAGATGCTCAACATCCCGTATACGAGTCTCAACGTAAGGCCCTGGCCCTAGCTAGGCGGCATAGATATTGAGGAAATTTTCAACACAGTCTTTTCAAAAGATTCAGGGCTCTACCCTGAAGCTGTCGAAAAAGCAAGGTACCCCAGCAAATCCCTATAAACCGCATTGCAGGGACTGTCCCCACATGCCTTGATTGTAACGTAAGGAGGCCCAAAACCCAAAAAGGAATGGAACGCCAAAAAACCCTCTGTCCTCTGAAGATGGGTCTGCATGGGGTGCCATGTTAGTTTAAGGGAGTAGGCGTGTAGCTTAGGGTTTGGTGACTGCAGGGATTACGGAGAATTAGCTCGAAAATATTGCGAGAACCGAAATTTTCGAAGGGCTTGCAAAAAAAACTTGTGTAGGAATTTTGTATGGGCCAGACCACTTAGAAAAAGTTCTGGGCTAAGATGCGCACTAGCTACACATAGATTATGAAAGCGTAACCTTTCAAGTTTTAAGTTTCTAAGTGACGTAAGTACGGCCAATGCAGGACAGTGCAATATCATGCCCTCAATTCGCAACCAAATACACCAAGCAGGGATCTAAGTACTCCAAACTAGGCGTGAAATTTTGGATCGGTACCAAAGGTATCCGCATAAAGTGACTCATAGTCTGAGCGAAACCCTACAAAGCCAATGCAATGCTCTGCAGTACTTTATCAGGCACTGCCCTGCACTGGACTGACGACCTGCCAGTTTCCGAAAACCAGGGGCCTTGTCCACATGCAGGGGAATACTTTTTATTTGGACAGAAGTCTGCGTGATTCTAGACTACCAGAACCTTAGCGTTTAGGCATATGTCATGCAGGAGACCGTTCGCCGCAGCATAAATCTGCTGCATGCACAGCTTTCCAGGCCCCTGCTTTTGGGAATTCACTAGCTCACTCTTCGCCGACATCCTTCTCTTTTGCCTTGTCCTTGTCCTTGTCCTTTTTCTTGTTGTCCTTTGACTTCTCCTTCTTGTCAGCCTTGCTTTTCTCTTGATGCCCTTCTTCTCCAGCGTTCTCTTGGTCATCATCCTTGTGTTTTTTCTTCTTGTCTTTCTTGTCCTTCGCTTTGTCTTTGTCCTTGTCTTTGTCCTTCTCTCTATCTTTGTCTTTGGCCTTGTCCTTATCCTTGTCCTTCTCCTTTTCCTTGTCCTTCTCCTTTTCCTTGTCCCTCTCCTTTTCCTTAGACTTCTCTTTGTCTTTGGACTTTGTTTTCTCTTTCTCTGCATCCTTCGCCTTCTCTTTTCCTTCCTTGTCCTCGACATCTAAAGTTGAAGCTACGGCGGGAGGGTCTTAATCTTGGGGTCAGGATACTTCGAAGGGTATCCCGGCTGCAAGAAACGGCAAAAGCAGAGGTTGACTTTCCTAGGCTGCGGTTTTTTCTTTCCAGTTAAGGAATGTTGAAAGTCCATAATAAAAGTATAAAAAACTAATCAGGTTCCTTATTATACTTACTGGGCTGTTGTTCAGGAACTTCATTAAATGAAGTTCTTTAACAACAACCCAGTTTCCCTCATGGTCGGATTGGTAAAGGCTTTGGCTTAGGAGCCGTCGCCCAAGACCAGCACGCCCCCCTGACAGGTTCCCGCTTTCTAGACAGGTATGACAATAATTAATACTCATAGTTCGATAAGAGAGACAATAGTAATACCTCCGGCGAAAAGTTGGGGCTTGGGGGCATATCCGGAGGCTGTAGCGGTACTCTGGGCGTCCCTGGGCGTCCCCATGAAGGATAATCTTGAGGTCACTCTGGGGAAGCTCATCAGATACAAACCGTGGGGCGACATTACATCAGCTATAGTCTAAACTCCTAGTATCCCCTCAATAACCCCCATAATAGTCCCCCATATAATCCCCTATATAACCCCTCTTAAGGAGTTCAGACTATAGCTCATATGGTAGGTTGCCAAATTGAAAAAATCGTGGCCCCTTATTAGAAGGGACCGGCTTGATGAAATCCATTTGCCAAATTTGCCGCTGCGCCCGTGTCAAACACTGCGGAAGGTGGTGAGGTGCTACATAAAGCCTATATCAAATTATTTAGTGGCTATAACTTATTGGGTTGGGCCAACGTGGAGATTTCTGCATGGCGTGGCTGATGATCAAGAAGCCTGGAAATCGCAACTTTCACCCCAAGCCCTTTCAGTCCTTCTCTTTATCTGCTTCCTTCGCCTTGGAAGCATCTCGGGATTTGCTTCCTGCAACATCTCATCGTCCGCATGGGGAGAAAACCATGCTGTTGTTTCCATGCATAAGGGGGTTGCAATTCGGGGCTGATGGCAGATCCAATCTTGAACTTCCACGGTTTTGGACCGTCAAGAATTATGCGTGAAGCCCCCTGCTGTCTCAAGAATTGGCTGCAGCAAAGGCCAACCTTGAAAGATGCTAAAAGTACTGACTCTCCAGCTACCTCCCGGGACCCTTGTTGACATACTCAGCAGAACTTGCAAGGTTACTCATCAGGGGGCGGCGCTTTGACGATGGGAACTATGGAGGGACATATGGGTATATTACCCCTGTAAAGGACAATCCGCTGAAAAAAATGAGAAAATGAATGCAAACACTGTTTAGGGTTCAGGCTTAAAGGCTCGGGACCACCAAAACTAGTCATTGGACAACACCCTTGGGAATATGAAGATTGGGCCCGTCCTGACCAAAAAGCCCACATCCTAGAAAGGCGTCAAACTTCACATCAGGAAAGACACGCATGTGGCTTCTGAAAAAATGTGGACTATGAAGTAATGATAGGCTCCACATGAAGAATCAGGGGGGGTTTGTTGAGAAACTCCCAACCGAAGGCGATGCTGAATTTGTCACTATGACCCGGGACCCAGAGACCTGACATGGGTATGCTCCCCGTATGCAGTCCTGTGCTATATAGTCCCACCGCAGCCGCTAAAGTTGAAGCCCAGCGCAATCCCAGTTTTGTCTCTGTACAATCCCTTCCCGAAAAATCAGCCCACAACCCTAATAAGGATTTTTCCGCTACAGTTTAATGAGTAGCATTATTATGTCGTGGGGCTGGCGGGAAGATGCATGATTGGGGTAGGTGGGCAGGTTGACTATTCGCAGGCAGTGGTTGCTTGGCCCTCGCAGCCTTTGCTGCGTCGCTTGCGATCACGGCTGCGACTGCGGCTGCTACTTCTGCTGCTACTGGAGGACCTCGCCAGTAAAGTTAGCTTTGTGGTTTCGGGTCTAGGCAGTGTTGGGATTCTCTGATTCCGCATTTGACAGGAGACCCACACGTCCAGAGGACAATACCAGGAATTATTCCGCAGGCGGAGCCCAGGTGGTGACAGGGACAGGGCTAGAACATGAAGGAACAAAAACAAGGTGTGCCATAGAATGTAAAGTGAAAGACTAGGCCACTTAAGTGTTCGGGGCTATGCACGATCTCCCTTCCTTCCAGCTGATCAGACATGGTAGTTTGCCCAAGGAGGGGGACCCCAACATGGACTCCAAAATACTATAATCCTTCTTACAGTAAACCCAGAAGGGTAACCCCCAGTTTTGGGAAACCCGCAGTCCCGTATAACCCTGTACAACCCCGTATAACCCCATATAACCCCATATAACCCCCTCTCAAGGTACCAAGGTATCCCCAAATTTGGGGAAACCCCCAAATGAGTAGTTTTTTTGGGTGGTTGAACCTAGTAAGATTATATTCCTTATATAAAATACTATACTCCAAAAGGAGGCTATAATCTTACTCTATATTGGGTACCATGGTATCCCCAAATAAAATACTACCCAAATAACGCCCATATAATCCCAGTTTCCATTTCATTTTCCATTTTCTTTTCCATTTGATTCTCCATTATTGGGGTAATAATGGGTACCATAGTATCCCCAAATAAAATAACCCTAAAAACTAAACCCCTAAACCCTAAACCCTAAACCCTAAACCCCAAATAAGATACTACTCAAATGTTCCGGCCGGCCTTCTTCGCCTCCGTCGGCTCCGGCTGCGGCCGTGGGTCAAGTCCAGGACGACGTTTCCCGCCATGCGCTTCCTTGGGGTTTGTGGGGTTGGGGGGTTGGGAATGGGGTTTTGGTAAGTTAGAGAGTTTCTAAAAATTCTTGTCCATTGATGTGGGGTTTGGGGTTGGGGATGGTTTGGGGGATTTAACGACTTTTAGGGGTTTAGGGCAGGGTTTTTCCGGATGTGTGAGGGGCTTTGGTTTCATGGGTCTGGCAGTTAATGGTTGCGGGATTTAGGTTGTTCAAGACTTTCTGGCTTAGGATCTAGCATGAAGGAATGTGCGGGACACGTTATGGTTGCTCCAGAATCTTGTCTCCAGCTACTTCTTCTCCCTCTATCTCTTAAACCCCACGTTAAATCCAGCCCTGAACCTAAAGCGTAGAACCCCTAAACCCCGAACATGTTTAATTTAGCCTTCAGGCCTAAACCGAAGCCCTAAAATCCTGGAACCCACAAATCCTAAACCCTAGATACCGATATCATGTTGAGGTCCGTTTAGACCCTAAACCTTAAATAACCCCCTACATAATCCTCCATTAAGGAAAACCTGAACCCTAAATAAGCCCCTACATAATCCCCTCTTAAGGAGTTCAGACCCTCAACCCTGAACCCTAAATGACCCCCTGCATAATCCCCCTTTAACGAGTTCAAATAACCCCCTGCATAATCCCCCTTTAAGGAGTTCACACCCCAACCCTGAACCCTAAATAACCCCCTTCAGAATCCTCCTTTAAGGAGTTGAGATTGCAGCTCTATGCTGGATTGGCACCTAAAACCCTTTGAAAAATATTAGTATATAGGGTCCCTTATTCAAGCCATTAGGGAAAATATCCAATATCCCAGGGGCTTACCCAGTATATAACCCCAATATAACCCTAATATAAACCCAATAGACCATAGTAGTTTCCATTTTCTTTTCCATTATCCCAATATAACCCATATATAAACCCCCAGTACGAAGAGCCAAGGCTCCCCGACAAGCCATCCTGGGTCACCGTGTAACGGACTCGGTCGCCCTCTTTGATGGTGCCCTCCTAACAGTTCTGCTTATAGGGTTAGAGGGTTTAGGGTTTAGGATTCAGGCTTGAAAGGTGTTCTCCTTTTCGGATTCCCTGAGGTTGCTTACGGTTTCATTCTATGTAAAGGGTTGGTATAGGATTCCATGGAGGTGCCTAAGATTAAAAAAATATGTGTTGCACCCGCAGTTCCCCTTTGTCCATTTGCTCTTCCGTTTGACTATCCATTATTCAAATATCCCCCTTCTCTGCTCCTATATAACCCTTCTTAGTAGTAGTACTAGTAGTAGTAGTAGTAGTAGTAGTAGCAGTAGCAGTAGCAGTAGCAGTAGCAGTAGCAGTAGTAGTAGTAGTAGGAGGAGGAGGAGTAAAGGTTTTGGGCGTTTGATGGTTCATCTAGGACTAGGACCGAGGCTTTACTAAACAGGTGGCATCTGTGGGATACAGGGCTGGGGCCACAGTGCAGAGAATAGCTGAAGTTCAGACGAGGATGTTATTCCCGTTCGGCCCAAGCCCAAACTAAAGGGTTCTAATCGGCACCCCAGACAGGGAACCCCAAGAATATGGTAGGAATATAATAAGACTAATATACCTCTCAGGTTCCTCATATTCTAATATATTCCTACTATATGCCTGGTGTTCCCTGTTCGGGGCTGGGGTTCCCATTAAAGTCCCCTTTATAAAGCCCTAAACCCAAACCGCCCAAACCATTCCCGTTTGGCCCTATAGTCCCCTTCAGTAGATAGAACATGGGGTATATGGGGATCCTAGTAAACTACACCCAAAGCCATATTCTATCTACCTAAGGGGCTATAGCTTACAAACCCTAAACCCTAAAAAGTAGTTTCCATTTTCTTTTCCATTATCCCTAAATAACCCCAATATTACCCTAATATTCTATCTACCTTAAGGGGGACTATAAACCTGTGTGCCATTTAAGGCTCAACTTGTCTTAGCTGGCTAACGTGGCAGAACAGATCGTCGCTGCCATCGGAAGGCTTGATGAAGCCTCAGCTGAACATGAAGAATACAGGCTAAAATGAGCTATAGTCTAAACTCCTTAAAGGGGGGTTATATGGGGGTTATATAGGGGACTACCATAGGGGATATTAAGGGGGATACTAGGAGTTTAGACTATGGCTCAAATAGACATTAAGTTACGATAATGGGTATATGGGGGTTTCCCAAAATTAGGGGTACCTTTTAGGGGTCTCTATAATAAGGCCTATAGTATTTTGGGGTCTATATTGGAGTCCCCTTATTTTGAGAAACTACCACATCAAGTTACGATAATGGGTATATATTGTATTTAATATGGTTTCCCCAATAAAGTAACTTAAATTAAGTTCCTGAACAACAGCACGTAACTGTAGCCTGCAACGCCTACGTTGGGCCCACATTCCAGAATCAAAATCCTGGTGCTGCAAGGGTTGTGAAGACAGCCACGCTGCAAGATGATCTTTTTGGGGTTAAAGTTGTAGGCTTTAGGTTTGAGGGCGTAGGGTATTGATTCCATTGGAAACCTAACCCTTCCTCTGCAAATACTTACTGGTGCCTAGGGAGACGTGAGGGGAGTGAATCCTTATGAGGAACCCTAATTGCATACTCACCATACATTCCCCTATGACAGTCCCTACATTCACTCCTAAAGCCGGGCTCGAGATGCTTCTTGGTCCCTACAAGATCTAACCTCGAGGTTCGAACAACAGCTTGCCTGCTGCGTGCTTGGAAGTTCAAAGCAATGATAACCGGATGACAACTGGTACTTCTAATGCAACTTTTACCACGTGAAGGGATTTAGGATTGAAATTGGTACTTTTAATCCAGTTATTACTGTATAGTACTGCATGGGGGAACTCAGGCGCCTCATAGCTTAGAACTGGGCTGTAAGTACAGGTATCATTGGGTCGTGATTACGGTCTCTGCAATCTCCAAGCACTGCCCGCAAGAGCCCATCCGAAAATCCAGAAAAGGTCAAGCACCTAAGCCAGGATCTGTCGGTTGCATACCATACCCCTTTCGGTCCAGGGTCTGGTGGTTTGGGATCCCGAAGTATATTCCATGTTTAGGGGCTCTTGGTTGAATCCCTCCACCCAAGCCTGAAATCCCATTGTTGGGACAAGGGTTAGGCCCTGAACCCTGAATTCGAAAACGTAACTCCTCCACCCTGAACCCTCAATTCTAAGCTCGACGCGCTTGGCGTAAAATCCCAAGCCCCAAGCCCGTAAACGCTAGATCCTAAAAAACACACTAAACGGTAATCCCCTTAGACCTATAATACAAACATGACGTGTAACTCTCGAGGCCAAGTAGCCGAAGCCGCCCTCCTTCCGCCACCGGACCAGGACCTGATAGGGTTTGGGGGTTTAGGGGCGCAGGTTCAGAGTTTAGGGTTCAGGGTGTAGGGGCTTGGGGTGTAAGGGTTTAGGATCATATGGAATTGCAATATACCATCACGTACCCTAACATGCCGTAGTATACTTATAATATACTACAGCATGTTCGAATTCTATCTCATTCTATCCTACTATACTCGGATTGTCTAAGTTTCGATCCTTTTCAAAGGGTCCTAGGTGCCTTTAAGGAGATATGAAGTTCTGGGATTAGTTCTTTACAAAGTTAACATATTCATCTTGTCATTAATGGCATGTAGCTCGTAAAGCTGACGGATAAATTTTAGCTAAAATAACTATAGTTAATATCATTATTACTATCATTACTCTTCACACCATTCTGACTATTATTACTATTATAACTGCTATTATTCGTGCTACTACTATCCCTCTCAAAACAATTAAATCAAACTCCAGCAAGGACAGCTCAGGCACGCCGCTGCCCATCCATGATTCCCGACGCGCCATCGCCACGGCAACGTCTCCCGCCCGAGATGGGAACAAAATTTGGCTACATAATTTGGATACACCTTACATGGTCTGGTTGCGTGTATGAAAAGTAACTGAATAGCGCTCACTGGCTCAGGAAATTTTAGCCTTTTGATGGCCTTCGTACTCTCAATCATAGCTTGCGTGACACCGTAGCGAGACACTGAACGGAGTAGCTTGCTGCAACCACACCGGGAGTATGACGGAATCATTGTTGGGGCTCTTTTTCGGGGAAGGTTCCCCCACATTTGGGGCACTTTTTTGTCAAGTGCTTTTCTATGTCTGTTGTTGCCTTGATTCGCTGGCAGTGTTTAAGCAGGCAGGGGTCGTTTGGAGGCACTTGGCAGTGCATCTTCCAAGTGCGATGCGTGGCCATGAGTTTTACCTGCCTTTGATAATGGCCACATGTCTCTTCCTTGAAAACGTTGAGCCAACAATGCAACAACTTTCACGTATCTCTCATGTGTCCGGCCTCAACAAACGAATAGCAAACCAGATTGCAGTATGGTTCTACAGAACCTCATCATATGAGTTCTGGCCATTACTGGCTCTCTACTTGATCTGCGATGGCTCTTGCAGCAAACGCTGCACGACACCAGGGTCTCCCTTGCTCAAGCTCAAGCTTTCACTGCGCCCACACACTCCCTACACCACTGACCGAACCCACACAGGATCCCGTGTGAGCTGAGTCCTTATACCCCCAAGGAAAAGGGAGAATCCTGCTCAAATTGTTGCAACAATAGGAGCCCACCCATTCATACCCAACTCCAACATGCAGAAAGGATCCCTGAAGTGGACGCAACAGTCCCCATATGATCCCACATACCCAAACAGTGGCCTTTAGTTCGGCAAAGCACATGGGACCTGTCATCACGGTCTGAACGAACAAAAAAACTGGACCAATCAATCCGATGGACCTTGAACTCCAGACTTTCACGCCTCTGTAACTTGCGTTCCCCGACTCCTTGTATCTAAGTGACCCTACGCATACCATAGCAATACACTTTGGATTCATTTGCACCTAAAAATGTCCCGTATATATATATATATATGTATATACCTCGTCATTCTCCCAAACAACCCCTACCCCATGCATAAGAACGCTCATGCCCCCCCTCCCTACATTGACACCACGCTATCTGCAATCCCAAAGCCCTCACTACAACCCAGCCTCATACACCCGGAACTCTTTGCCCTGAACCATGAACCCAGCTAGGCTGAACACCTGACAGGCGCCATTGCCCCATCGATCAAGTGAGTTGGGCATGCCGAAATGCAAAGGGGTGTGGTGGGGGCAGGCTGAGGGACATATGGTTCACTTATGATCATGAAACGGGTTGTGCAGGCGATGCACAGGAAATCTTGGAAGGTCGTGGGCTAGGATGTTGTGGGGGGTTGTTGCGATGTTTGGTCACCAAGGTTGACGTTGTGGATTTGTTCACGCGCATTTCTCTTGGTACATGGGTGAGTTGGGCTACTCCGCTGCCATGGCAGGCAAGTTTGATGGGGCCGTGTTGCTAGCTAGCGTCTTGGGAGATTCTCTTGCATGAGATGTGTCCTGGAGAATGCCAACAGATGCAGGCATGCTCACAAACTTGCAGGCTATTATTGACCTACTAAACATGGCATCTTCACCCTGCAACACACACAGTATACACGCATAAGCAACCGTCGACAAATTGCAACAAAAGTTCAAGCGAACCTGGTTTGAAAGTACAGAGCTATAGCTGGCACTTTGCGCTGCATCACAGAACGCGACTCACAGAAAGGTAGCCCCCGAGTCAGTGCATCAGACAGCAACATGGCGATGTCGTGAACTGTGGCCCTGAAGGTATATGCGCTGTGTGAAACTGTATGCATCCCAAGGCGGGCGGATCCATATTGCAACGCCATGAAGGGCTCCCCAACTGCCAGCCCAAAAACCCGTACGATGCAAGGAAAGAAAATACCCTACACGACGCCACGATCCCCAATGCAAGTGCCCACAAATCCCTGCAAGTCTGTGCAAGTTCCGTGCAAGTCTGTGAAGGATGTATATGATGTTTTTCCAAGCCCATTCTTAAATTGCAGGACGATAGACAACGTCTTTGGTCGCACGGCCAAAGTGAAGGAGTTGGGCTGCCAAAATTGTGGGCGCTCCAAAGCTTCAGCGCAGCGGCAGCGCACGGGGCGCGGAGCCAGCTACAAGTCGCAAAACTTCCGCGAACAGGATCTCGCTGAATAATTTGCACAACAAGCGCGGATCTGTAGCCAAACGAATTTTGCCTTCGAAGTTTCTTTCCATGGACCTTCGCGCAACTGAATTTAGCGCGGTCCCTGTGCAGAGCTCAAAGCCAAAGCGCGCACAAGTCCAAAGGAACAAAACTCCAAAGTACCATCCAACCGCCCATGCTGGCACAAGCAAGCGACTGGCAGATGGAGGGGCTCTTGCATATCACGAGGACATCACGCGGCCCGGTTCTACGTTGGTAGCAGGGGGAGGTAATGGGAGCAGGCTGACTGCTGTTCAGCTGCAAGAGCAAAGAGGGCAGACAAGCGGCCCGCTTCAGCTGCAGCAACAGCGCACGAGCGCGAGAACGGCCAAGTAGGCGCACCAGCTGGCTTTTCTGGGGGCTAGAACGTCCCCAGGCTTGACAGCTAGCACAATGAGACGGCAGCGATGGGACCGGAGTAGCTGAGAGTCCAGGGCCGGTCACCTGGTGTCAGCTGCAGCTACCACACAGTCAAGCAAGCCATTGATTTCGAGGCGGCGGTCATCCTGGCGTTGGAACTGAACATGATATGAAGGTCCTGTTGCCCCAGCCTTGCCGCACGCTCCAAAGGAACGCAGAGGGCCGGCCCTGGGTCAAGCACCGCGGTGCTCACCCAGGAGATCAACAGGCCGGCGGCAGCAGCAGCAGCAGCAGCAGCAGCAGCGGGCTGCGTGAAGTGGAAGCGGAATGCGCAGGCGCCGCATCAAAGTGACCGGAAAGCCGTCGAATCGGCTGTGGAGTCCGGCGAGATCGGCGCAGGTTAGCGACCGAACACAAAGGGAATGCTTGGGACAAACCGTGAGTGATGCCCGACGTGTCGGGCCAAGTGGAGACAGCAAAAAGGGCAAAGGTCTGGCATGCGGCCACGGAGCGCTGTGTTGATCAGGGCGGGAACGGCCGTTCCGGTACTTAAGTTGTACTAATTACGCCAGAGCGAAAATCCATCAAGTCACCGGGAATGGCCATTCCAGTATTTAACTTGTACTACTAACTAAGGAACGAAAATCAATCAAGTCGCCAGGAACGGCCGTTCCAGTACGTATGTTGTACTACTACACGACCAAAAACCATATACTTAAAGAACAGATTTCAATCAAATTGCCGGGAAAAGCTGTTCCAGCACTTATTGAATATTTTACACATCGAGAACGAAAATCCATCACGTCGCCAGGAACGGCCGTTCCAGCGGGCGGCTACTCGGGAACTCTCATGTGCTGCAGAAAGGTTTTCTTAGAAAGGCAATTTTCTTTTCCTGCACTTGGTCACGCGTCCCGCAGAAAACCTTTTTGGAACAAACGACTTCGGCATGCGGTCTCAAAAAGAAAGGGCGCCTGTGCACCAGCTGTGATTGACGTCAGTTTTGCACATGTCATGTTGCCACGCACGAACGCCCCCGCAGCCACGTCCACCATCGGCGCGCCGCCCCGCTCACTTCGCGCTGCGGCTCCTCACGCGCTTGACGCGGCCAATGACATTGCTGCAGCAGCCAGGACGCCTACCACCCAGTGCCGCGGCGCGCAGCGTTCTTGGCGGCCAGTGGGGCCGGGGCGCCGCGAGCATGTGGGCGAGGACGCCAACCCAGGGCCACACGCAACGGATTCACGTGAGGCCCCGTCAGCATTGGGAAGTCCAGCACCAATGCGCTGCCGAAGAGCTTGCTAGAGCTGGCTTGCCCCCGTTCCCTCCATTGCCGCCAGCGGCCGTGTCACCATGTGGCACCATCAGCGCTCCCGTGTCGCAAGCAACGGACGTCGCTTGATTACCTTATTCCCCGCGCAGCGGGCGGCGACCTCACGCTTTTGGCAGAATGCTGCGACGGCGCTGTGGCACCCACATTGCCCGATGCCCGAACACCAAACAAGGCCCCAAGCACCCCGGTCCCCGTGCAACCCAACCTCTGCCCGTGCGGGCGCGCTCCAGGTGGCAACAGGGGCCTCCGGCCGAGGGGCCGGATCTACATGCCCCTCCTCCTGGATGGGGCTGGGCTCTTGTGCCCAGCGGCCGCAGCTGGTTGGCATGCCTGTGCGCTTTATGCGGCGCCATGGGCCGCCTTAGTCGCCGCCCTGCGCCCAGGCTGCCGGAGACCTCATTGCTAGCGTGCGGAACCAGGCCGGCCGCATGAGGACTGCCGCGCATTGCTGGGAACAGTCCGCGCAGCCGCTGACGCTCACTGACAAAGTGCCTGCGCCCGACTCTGCAGACGTCAAGCCCTCT